GCAGAAAGCAGCCCTTGCTGCTGAGCACCAAGGCTCACTGGGGACAACCATAAAGTCTGGTTCACCTGGTTGGAGCAATGGGTGAGAGCGGGCTTACAGGAGCTGCAGGCAAGTAGAGGAGTTAATGAGCTTGTCCTTGTTCGCAAAGGACAGCAGCAAGAGTCATCTGCGGAGAGTGGAAGCTGTAGGTGCTTTATACCCCCTTTTTTTCCTTTTTCTCAGCAAGAAAATGGTTCCTTTGGCCTGGAAGCTTTCTCTTGGCCTTGTAAGGAGAGCCGACCCTCTGTACTGAAGTTGACCTGGCCACTGTTTCCCAGCCAATGTCCCATTTCTAAGGGAAACCCACCCGACAGCACTCTCTGCCCTGGATTTCCACAAGTCACGAGTCCCCTGGGTCTCCTTGTGTTTGAAACGCTCCTGAGCAAACAGCAGCTTGCTGAGCCTCAGCATCCCGCTAACTCGCAGACAGCGAGCATCCTTCCCCGGCCTGATGCACACATGCATTGCTGAGCTACACACGATGAGCGTGTCAGACGCATGGAAACCCTTCAGTGCCGCTGCAGCAGATGCCAGCAGAAGCAACGGCGGCTGCACGGTCCCTGTGTGCCGTTAACAGCTGCCAACTGGTGAGCCGGCTCCTGGTCCTCACTCCGACAGGGCAGCTCATCGCCAGCGTTACAAATTACTTCATTTAAGTGCTTTCTGCCCACGCAGGCATTTGCAACTCCATATTCAACAGTGACCTCTCAGGGCCGTGGTGGGATTTCAAAGGGCATTGGGGGGGGTTCAAGCTGAGAAGGGACTTGGGAAAGCTGAGGGCAATGCCCTCTTCCTTAGCTCGGTGCTTGGAAATGGAGAGCTGGATAAAAGGCATGCCATGGGGAGAAGGGGAGGGATGGGGACACAAAGAAAAATCCAGCCCTGCAGAAAGCCCTCTTTGTCTCCTTCCCAGCTGCTGGGATGTTTCTGAGGCAGGATGGGGGCCAGTGCAGAGGGGCTCCGCCGCTGCAAACAACCCCCGTCCCTCTTACGCAGAAGATGTTCCCGGGACAGGGGATTTGGCAGCGGGAACAGTGTGGGGGCTCCGGTGCGATTCCCTGCCCCAAAGACAGCCGAGCTGGTGGTAAGGCACTGAGTCCTGCACCACATGCCTTCACTGGGGTGACAGGACAGACGTGTCCATGACAGCCCAGCTCTGCTGGCCTCGAGCAAGGAGCCAGCGAGACAGCTCACCCCTCTGCATGTCCTCACCATCCATCCCTCCCTCTGTCCCTCGGCCATTCCTCCTCCCAGTCTGCCACGGCATCCTTGTCCTTTCCCAGCTGGCAGCGCTGGCAGCACCAGGACGTCCTCCCCCTGCAGCAGGGAGGACAGTTTGGAAAGGTTTGTCCCTGCTAATTCCCTCCCCGGGGGGATGTTTCCTCCTCTCTGAACACAGCCATCATTGCTTTCCCCGCTGTGTCCCCTTTGCCCTCCCTGCTGCCCCAAGCACCCAGCTGGTGGGACTCGCAAAATAAACATCCTCCCATCTGCTCCCGCGCCCCAGCCTGGGAGATGACAGAGGCGATAATTACACACTCAGCACAGCAAAATTATCCAGCGTGAGGGAGAAGAGGCCGGAAGCAGCTGGAGATCATCCATGGGACGCTGCTCCCACCCACGGCACCTTCCTGCACGCCTCATCCCAAACCAGCCTGGCACTGCAATTTATACTGTGAGTGTGCTTGTCGGGCCCAGGCGGGATGGGGTCCAGCCCTGGGCAAGCACCCTGAGTGCAGGAGCCGACCCTGCAGGCAGGGAGGTGGGGACGTGCTGCTGCAGCGAGGGGTTTGGAGCAGCAGAACTAAGGAAAGCCGGTTTCCCATGGGGCTGGGAGTCATAGCTGGCATCCCCTGGGTCTCCTGAAGCACAGCCTCCAAGGATGCCATTTCGCCAGGGAGGGTTTCATGTGTGCCATCACTCATGTACATTTTTGGTGCCTGCCAGGGCATGAGCGCTCGGACATCCCATCCCTTCCCCACTCCTGCGAGACCTCTGTGAGGAACGCTTGCAGCTCATCCATGAGGCTTCCTTTGTAGCAAACTCCTTTTTGAAGAAAATTTATTTCCCCCTCAAAGGAGGATCTGCAAAAGTGGATGGTCCATGCAGAGACCCTCAAGAGGTCTGCGGGGATGATACTACCCGATTTTCCATGCACGGGCAGGTCCAGGACTGCAGCCCATAAGAAACATCCTAGAGAGGAGTGAAGAGGAGAAATAATATTAGTAGGAATAAGAACAGCAATTAAAAAAAAACCACTACACCTGCTGAAGGGAGTAGGCGGCAATGAATTGTCCTTAAAATACATCCAGGCTCGATGGCTTTACCTTTTGCCCTGGAATGAGTAATACCGGGCACACAACATTTAATTTCCACAATCTTTCCGGTACCAGAAAACCACTTGGAGCCTGTTTTCCTCCCACTGGCCCTGGTGGGAGCGCTGAATACGGGCAGGGGGTACGGGCAGGG